GGTTATGGTGGTTTAGGGTTTGGGGATTAGGGGTTATGGTGGTTATGGTGGTGCACGAAACGCCCCCTAATCCACCAGCCCTAAATTCCCTAAAACCCCAATAAACCCGAGAGTCGGGAGGATTTCGACAACCGCGTCGTGGATTTCTGCATCCAGGACTTCAAGCACCTCGGACCTCTTGGGGTAGACTTCCTCTTAGATTCGGGTTGAGGGTTTTAAGGGTTTAGGGTTTAGGGTTTAGGGTTTTTTGGGTTCGAGATTTAGATTTAGGGTGTAGGATTTAGGGTCTAGGGGTTTGCAATTAACGCTGAACTTTTTTCTGAACCGGGTCCCCCGGTAAGTAGATAGAATATGAAGTGTATGGGGATCTTATTCAGATATACTCAAAGCCATATTCCATCCACTTAAGGGGGACTGTATGCCCAGGGCTGTTGTTGGGTGGGGGATGCCCCCAAATGGGATGGAGACCGTGGCCGAAACCCACATGTTTGAATCTAGACCTAAAACTGACTAAACTCTCAGCCCTGAAGCCCTAAGCCCTAAGCGTCATGCAAGCCATAGCCATAGTCTAAACTCCAACTACCCCGGCGCTTAGAGGATGATGGCGCATAGCGCAGCTACCTGAAAGGGGTTTGGCTTTTGGGGTTGGGGTAGTGCTCAAAAGTATGTACAGCCCATGATGAGCACCGAAGTTCTCAAAGGCTCCCAGAAGGAACGATTCCCATGTGTAGGGTCGTGGGACCTTTCTGAGTGAAGGGGCCGCTGATCTTGAAGCGAGAGTCTCGCCTTTCTGTCAAAGTGTGATTGGTGTTCTCATTGTTATAGGACTCAACACATGTCATGAAAATGGATATGCTCCTTGATGTTATGGTTGCATTTTCCGTGTTTAACCAGTACGGCAGAGGGTCCTTTTTTTCGGTTAAAGGCATCATCGTGCGCCGATCCATGCTGTTGTGCATGTGAGGCGAAAGAACCGCGGCAAGGACATGGCTGGCAACCAGCGCGCTATCCGACGCTTGCGAACCCAGTGCGAGCGTGCCAAGCGAACGCTCTCCTCTTCCACGCAGGCCACCATTGAGATCGACTCCCTGTTCGAGGGTATCGATTACTCCTGCTCCCTGTCTCGTGCGCGTTTCGAGGAGCTGTGCATGGACTACTTCCGCAACTCCATGGGTCCAGTGGAGAAGTGCTTGAAGGACTCGGGCATTGACAAGAAGAGCGTGCACGATGTGGTGCTGGTGGGTGGCTCCACCCGAATCCCTAAGGTGCAGTCCATGATCCAGGAGTTCTTCAACGGCAAGGAGCCGAACAGGTCCATCAACCCTGACGAGGCCGTGGCCTACGGTGCCGCGGTGCAGGCTGCCATCTTGACCGGAGAGGGCTCCTCTCAGGTGCAGGACCTGTTGCTGCTGGACGTGACGCCCTTGTCCATGGGTTTGGAGACCGCTGGCGGTGTAATGACCAAACTCATCGAGCGCAACACCACCATCCCAACTAAGAAGGCTCAGACCTTCACCACCTACGCGGACAACCAGCCGGGAGTGTTGATCCAGGTGTTCGAGGGTGAGCGCGCCATGACCAAGGACAACAACCTCCTTGGCAAGTTCCACTTGGACGGCATCCCGCCAGCTCCGCGTGGCGTGCCCCAGATCGAGGTCACGTACGACATCGATGCCAATGGCATTCTGAACGTCAGCGCTTCGGACAAGTCCACAGGCAAGTCCAACCAGATTACCATTACCAACGATCCCTGGCTGTGTTTTTGGAAGCCCATTCTCTGACGTATGGTTGGGCATTTTTTGGATTTCTGCTCTCGTATGGCAGATGACAGCACGTCTCTGTCTAGCCAGACTTCCTAGCTAAACCTACACCACCCTGAACCATACACTCATACACCCCAACGCCGACTTGGAGGGTCAAGACTATAGAGTACAGGAATCCCGTTTATCCCTGTTATTCATGTACTTACCAGATCCCCCTGACCCTATACCCCAAACCCTAAACGCTCAATCCTACACCGGGTAAACCTTAACTCTCAACCCGAAACCCCAACTTCTCAGCCCTAAACCCGAAACCTAGCAAACCCCGGTCAACTGAGCTATAGTCTAAACTCCTTAAAGAGGGGGTTGTATAGGGGGTTATTTAGACTGCCATAGGGGCCATGAAGGGGGTTACTAGGAGTTTAGACCCTAAACCTAAACCCTAATCCCTAAATCCTAAGCCCTAAACCCTAAATCCTAAGCCTTAAACCCCATATTATGGGAGTTCTTAAAGGGGCTACTAGGAGTTTAGCCAAAAGATCAACTGAGGAGAAGGGTCGCCTGTCGCAGTCGGAGATCGACCGCATGGTTCAGGAAGCGGAGAAGTCCCTCGCCCCATAGAACTTAGGGTTTAGGATTTAGGGTTTAGTGTTCAGGGTTTAGGATTTAGGTTTAAGGCTAAGGCTTAGGATTCAGGGTTTAGGGTAGCCCCCAACATGTTCCCTAATATAGATGGGAAATTTGGACTGTAGCTCATGCGTTGTGCCATTCCCTCACCGTATCTGTCATAAAAGACATTGTCCTTTCTCCGAAAGGGGGTCTGTTTGAGTTTCTGGAAAGTAGGTGCCTCTACGAGTCATGGATTCTACGGCGGTCATTCTGAGAGACCCACATATCTCCTGTATCCCAAGAATCTTTAGATTGCCCCGCATCCTAGAGACGGCTCTTGCTTGCACCGCCAACTGAGGTTCCGCGCCGAAGATGAGGCTAACAAGCTGAAGATTGAGGCAAAGAACGGTTTGGAGAACTACTGCTTCACCATGCGCAACACCCTGAACGAGGAGAAGCTGAAGGACAAGTTCGAGGGTGGAGACAAGGAGAAGATCGAGTCCGCTGTGCAGGAGACCTTGGACTGGCTGGACAAGAACCAGCTGGCCGAGAAGGACGAGTTCGAGGCCAAGCAGAAGGAGCTCGAGGGCATCGTGAACCCCATCATGATGAAGGTCTACCAGGCCGCGGGTGGCGGCGGCATGCCCGAGGGTGGCATGCCTGGCGGCGGCATGGGAGGTGCTCCCGGCGGCGCCAGCGGCCCCACCGTTGAGGAGGTTGACTAGGCCGATTAGGCCGTTGGTGATGCAGGTGCTTGTGCTTAGGCCTTGCTTGTTTGAAGCCATACAAGTCAAGTTACGGGAATATGAGTGCTCTAAAGCTTAGTCGTCGCTAAGTCTCATGAGCCTGCCAGTAGCCTTTGCAGCAAGAGACCTGCAACGCACCCCACCAGAGAACAGGAATGCGAGCCGGTGCTGTACAGAGCAGTGCATGCCGGGCAAAAAGAAGCATACCAGTCAGAATGAGTTGTACTGCTCATTTCTGCCGCAGAGCAATCCAGTAGAGAAGCCTAGAATGTTTAGTTAAAGGACGGAATCGTTCTGAATGACTGTTTCTGCAGGGGTTGCTCGCTGAGGTACGGGCCACTTAGTGTGGATTTTAGGGTACTAGGCTACCTGGCTGCCCTCTCCAGGGTCCAAGGACCCAAATGTTGCAGTAGGGCTTTAGGTACCAGAAACCATTCAGCTTATCCTATTCTTGACCTAAATTATCCCCCGTATTTGGGTACTGGGTACACGGCTGAGGGTTCAGGGTTCAAGGCTTATGGATTCCTTCTCGGCTCAGGGCTAAACCCTAAACCCAGGGTTTAGGGTATCACCACTCTAAACTCCCAAGGCTCCACGTAGGTACCTCTTATAGACTCTGCTGGGTTGCCGTTAAGGACTGGGTAGGCCCCTGGGATATTTAATATTTTCCCTAATGGCTTTAATAGGGGACCATATATACTAATATTTTTCAATGAGTTTTAGGGGCCAACCTAGAGGAACTTAAACGTATGTTACCATAATTAGCAAACAATAGGGTTCCCTTATCATAGTAACTTTAAAGGCCCGACGTAGGTATTACTATTACTTACGCCCGTAGAACTACAGCATCTTTTATAGGGCTTACCTTAGGTTCAGTTAGTTTTCTGCATTCCCTTACTAACCCCTTGAACTTTCCAAGGGAGGGGCCGCATAGGGGATGGTTAAGGGCGTTGGAAGCACAAAAGGGAACCGGAACTCCGCAGCTTAGTATGATGGTGTGTAAGAGAAGGCATCTGGGGCTTCCAAAAAGCAGGGTGCCTATGATCAAGATGGTAGTATATCGGTGAATCAGTGGCTGCAAGGGGCATGGCTTTTCTGGGCACCTCTCAAACATTGAAGAACCACACTGCAGTCCCCAACTGCACCCTACATGCGCCCAGTTTCCACTTCATTTTCCAGTTGAGTCTTCATTATTGGTACCCTAACCCCTGAACTCAAAACCCTAAGCCCTATATGTCCCTGTATACCCCCTATACAGCCCTTATATGAGCCCCGTAAACCTGATGTAATTCCTATATAGCCCTATCTACCATAAAGCCTAAGCCCTAAAACCCGAAACCCTATATGGCGTTGTATACCGCAACGGCCAGGAAGATGTCGACTTCCTGGTATCTGCGGGCGTTTGTAGCCAGGAGGCGCGGCTTCTCAAAATCGAGGGTTTAGGGCGTAGAGCTCAGGGTTTAGGGCTGCGTTCTGTGGGGCTCTCATGATACCGTACTTGGAGGTCCATTGTACTTATAACCTACTTAGTAGCTATAGTTATAACCCAAATATAAGTCCCATAACTACAGTTACCCTAGATATAATTGGGTTATAACTACAGTTACTAAGTAGGTTATAAGTACCATGGACCTCCAAGTAGCACAAGTGCGCACATCTTCTTCGCGGTAGTTTTTGATTGGGAGCTGAAGGCTCTTTGAAAAAAGGTTGCCCAATATGGTAATTTCCCAGAATAAGGGAACCCCAATATAGACCCCAAAATAACTATAATCCTTACTATAGGGACCCCCAAAATGGTACCCCAAATTTCAGGAAACCCTAAACCCTATATACCCCTATAGAATCCCAGTTTCCATTTCATTTTCCATTTTCTTTTCCATTCGATTCTCCATGGTACCCCTAATTTTAGGAAAGTCCGGAAACCCCTATATAGCAGCCCCCAAGTTGTTGAAGCGCCCCAGGTAAAATGCGAGCAACGTGGTGCGACATTTCCCTAAACCCTAAAGGCTAAACCCTACATCCACAGTTCGGGGCAGTTGATAACGGCCTTACCCCGATGGGTGGCGAATATAGAGGGCAGTCACAGGATGTTTACTTCAAGGGTTTAGGGCTTTAGGGTTTAGGGGTTTAAGGTTTACTTCAAGCGCTTAAGCTATTTGTGACTTCCCTCGAATAGAAATGCTCCCCCACCCACTCCCTCCAAAGGCATTCCGTATTCAGAGGACCCGATATAGTTTTGACCAATGAGTTTTGCCTAAACCCTAAACCCTAAACCTGATAATTCAAATGAGATCTTCTGGGAGAGAAGCCTGAGAGTCCCTGCAACAATCGCCTTGTCAGTTGAAACTTGAAGTGTTCGGAGTGGGGGTGCCCCATACCTGTGCTTTGGCAACCCTCAAAAAGAGCCACTCAATTTTGGGAAGCTGCTCTTTCAGAGGCCACTGTGGCACGAAGAGGGAACCCGCAAATCACAGCAATGCCTCCTGAAACAATTCATCTCTGATTGCTCACCACAAAAACCTATATCCTCAAACCCTGAAGCCTTAACATAATAACACCCAACTAATGAAAAGCCTTTCTTCAACAGGAGGCGGAGACCCTCCGTGGAGGGCCGCCAATCGACAACGAGGCATAGCTGGATTTACGGTTTAGACAGTTTCTCTCAGGGTTCAGGGCTCGCGTTTAGGACTACCATCCCCGTGTCAACATCATGTACCAAGAGTATAGTATACTCCAAGACCCTACTGAGGTTTTCAGGCCCCTACAGCAGTAGCTAGGAGCTTGTGGGCCCCTCTTCCTCTTTTGAACACCTACCCACTCACCATCATTAAGAGCTCTTCATTCAGGTATTAGAATAAGCTTGTCATAATGGTGTCAGAATAGAAGCACTGGGGAGTGTTTAGCAACATGGATTGAGGTGGTTGTAATAATTGGAGGGGATTCCGCTCCCTAAACGCCAAGCCCTAAATCGTGAATATGACAGATTAGGTTTTTCCGAGGAGTCCCACCGGGATTTTTCCGGCTCAACGTTCCTTCGAAATTGCAAGTCCTTGGTGTGGATCCTTGTATTTAGGAACCGTGAGGGGTCCCATACAAGGGTTAATTAAACCTTAAACCCTAAACCCTAAACCACCTGAGGACTCCTATAGGCTTCCCCCTAAAGGCTTCCCAAGGTCCCATGTCGTCTCCCAGTGTGAGACCTCCATGGGTGGGAGTCTTCTTATGGCTTCATTGCTTATGCTACAAATCCTGATACTTGTAGGGTTTGTGGACTTACAGTCCCCCTGAAAGAGATGGAATATGGCTTTGGGTATATTATAATGAGATCCCCATATACCCCATATTCTATCTACTTAAGGGGGACTATATATAGACCTTCGTGGGCTTGCAGGGGGTGTGTAGTGAAGTAACTCCCTCCGCTCATGCGTTTACTCACTCATCTTTCACTTATAACAAGAGAATCAGATGGGAAAGAACATAGAATAGGAAATGGCAGCTGTGAATTACCGGGGCTATTTCGGGGCATATTGGGCTTAGGCAACTAGAGGGTTTTGGCAACCCCAACCCCTACAATGAGAAGCCCATCAGAGTCATATGACAATCATATGCGTGGTGGGGGCAACCAAAATCCCTTCATTCGCTTGAGATAGGGTTTGTTTCAGGGTTTGTGCTGAGTGTATATAGGGCCCCTAGAGGCACTTATTCCCAACATTCCTGAATAGGAACCTCTCTGCTTCCAACCGCTACATTATTTAGACCTACTTGGAGGTCAGGGGATACTCATAGCATCTAAAAGCCATAACATAACTCCAGTTATCCCCATCATGAACCTACTTACTAAGTCCCCCTGACCCTCCAAGTATAATACATTAGGTTGGGCCCCCACCCACTAACAGTGACCACAAGAGGTAATGGTAAGTATATTAGGGTCCAAATGTATTCCTAGCATACCACTATTGGTGGGTGGGTGCCCAACCCAAATAGTACATTTGTAATCATCCATCCTCAATCCTCGAACCTGGAGGGTGCTCTGGTCCCCTCTAGACTGCTCTGGCTTAGGGTTTCTGCTGGAATATCGGGTCATATCTTATTGGGGGTTATATAGGGGATAATGGAAAGGAACATGGAAACTACTTTTTAGGGTTTAGGGTTTAGAGTTTCTAGTCCCTCTTAAGTAGATTGAATATGGCTTTGGGTGTGTTGTAATGCGATCCCTATATACGCCATATTCTATCTACCTAAGAGGGACTGTAGGGTTGAGGGGGCTTGCCAAATCTAAATCTGAAAGCCCCAAATCCGAAACCGCAAAAGCCCCTCAAGACCTCTTCCTTACCTCCATAAGACGCCTGGTCACTACATAACCTCCTACATAACCCTGCGCTTAGGGGATCAAACTGTTAGATTTTTTGTTAGAAGGGGCATTCTGGAAACGCCCCCCCAAACCTAAATCCGCTTTTATCAGAGTGACCTTATAAGTCGATATGACCATATGATAGGCCTAGGGTCGTACAGGGTCCGACCTTGGGGGGTTGTTGCAACCCCAACCCCCCTCGGGTTTAGGGGTTTAGGGTTTAAGGAGGCATACTTCCATATATATATATATATATCTAGATAGATATATATATATATCTATATATATATATCTAGATATATATATATACATATATATGTATGAGACCCCTCTTTGGGGTGGCAAGGGTAAGCACGTTTTTGGGTCTATATTTGGTCCCCCCCCCCGTTTTATGGATACGACCACATACATATTGGTGGGGTGTTCCCTGGCCTGCTGGATTTGAAGCCCTAAGCTCAAACGTCTATCCCAAAACCTTAATCCCTAAACCCTAAACCCTGCTCCCTAACCCTAAGCCCGAACCACTAATCCCTGATCCATCAACCCGAAACCTCAAGCTCGGGATGGGGATGTTCCCTTCCCTCTCCTTTGCAGATGATCCGCTCGAGCAACAAGCTTGCCTTCGTAG